ACAGCATGTCTTTTGTTCTCTCTTCCTCCCTTCACACCCAACCAGTGACTGGTTGGGTGTTTCCCATTCCCTGATTGCTCCCTCTGTGTATTTAAGCCCTGTGTTTTCCTTTCTGTATCACGATCTACCCTCATTCATGCTGTGTGTTCTGTCTGCCTGCCTGAGTTTATTCTTTGTATTTTGAAGTTTGTTACTTTTGAGTTCAGCGTTGAAGCTGTTTTTTGAGTTCACGTTTTGTCTCCAGAGTCTGCACTTTGGGTCCTCAATGTCACTACTCCTGCCTGCACACAGCCTTCACATGACAATGGCTACTTTTGACACATTTACAAACTCACCAGTGATGTTGTAGGCCAAATGCATTACCATTTTGATTTGGATGTTTGTTTTTTAATAAAATAATAATGAATTCAGAAGTGTTTAAAAGTGATGCTACCGTTCCGTGTAAAAATACCTTTTCTAAAAACTAGATTAACACAGTTGCATTTTCAGTTGGGGGAATCCTCTCATCGTCAGAACTGGGTGGCTACACGTAGGACCGGTTTTTCAGCAAAAGAGGAAGTGCAATGTTTACGTTTTAGCTTAGGGGCTGGACACACGATAGCTCAAGTTCTGGCACACAGCATCTAAAATAATTAAACTGCATATCTTATAATATATACAACTGCAGATAACACATGCATCCTCAAATCACAGCAATACACATGATTGTTACATATAAAAGACTAAATAAAATCATATTTTCACAGAAACGTTTTCTGCACTAACGGCATGTTTACAGAATTCGGTAGTAGAAATTATGTTATTTTCTCAGATTAACATAATTCCAACTCCAAGATGAAAGCGTTACAAAATAAAGAGGTTGAAATAGTTTTCAGCATATATGTTGTATATATACATATCGTATAGTATTTTAAGGTATATGTGGTATGAATGATGAATAAAACCTTTGAAATAGCTGAGTGTGGGGGGAGGGGACAAATGATTTTTCTCTGCTTTTAAGCATTATAGTGCCTCCATGTTATCCTTGAAGGGTGGGCTGTTCCTCTTCAGCAAAGCACTGTAACAGAGCAATAACAAATCTTTAGACACACATACACACATACACACATATACACATATATACACACATACATACATATATATATATATATATATATATACTTGTGTGATATAACACTTGTGAAAACTGCAATTGATCGTGCAGTTTTAAGGCACTTCCACACTGACTTTTCTGGAAGTAAGGAGGAGCTTTCAGACTTCAATTTGAGATTTGTTAACGCAGCATGAGGGCAGCACACCAAAGTTTTACAAGTGTGTGTCACATTCCAGAAATGTAGGGGTTGGTAAGCCCTGAGAAGAGCCAAGAGATTGTTTTAATACTACTGTGTACACTAATGAAATACCTGCAAATGCACCCCAGTAGAACCAGCAGGACCAGCAGTGCCGTGATGGAGAAACTGGTAATGGTATACCAGTAATGTCGAGGTATTCCTACAAGAGCAAAGAGAGTTTGACAATTAGTCTGCTGAACCTTTTACTTTGCCTGAGATCTCCAAAGTACAATTTTTGCGTTATTTAAACTGACAGGCAGCTGCGTATCCCTCATGAATTAGACTTCCAGTCATTCAGAAAATATTCTTGTTGGGTTGTCTGTGACATGACTGATGCCACTTTTGAGCAATAAGTAATTTTTCATCCATCCAGGCATTCATCTATTGGATGACAACAGTCTATTATTCTTCAAGCTGCTGCATGTTAGTAACTGACACAGTTTTCTACAGTTCCCTTTTAGCATCATTATATGTTTATGAACTAGTTCTTAACTAGCTGTGATATGTACTACAAAAATTAAATATTTTTGCAACATCAAAACTTCTATTTTCAGACGTTTCAGAAGCAAATCAGTTTTTTCTTTACACCAACTCACATTTCAACAGTGACTAACCATAAGGTTCCAAACTTCCTCTCTGTATGAACACCCGACAACACTGCGTGACAATATCAACAATAACTGACTCACTGTGAAATTATATATTATCAATCCACAGATTGATATTGCAGTTTATTTAGATAACTGAGCTGATAAGTGACTTGACGTCCCAGATACTAATTTGCACTGAGTGCAGCAGAATTCTATTTAAATTCTTGCACTGGGTCAAGTGTGATTTAACTTTTTTAAATATCACACAGCGATTACTTGTTTATGAATGAAAACTGAAAAACCCACTTCCTCAGCAGCTCATTCATCAACAGGAAGCGGAGGCATGTGACAACAACCCAGTCGCCCTTTTAGACTTCCTTTACTGCCATTCAGTTTTTATGACTCAGATGCTCATCTCTTTTTTGAGATGAGAATCTCAACTTTCCATACCTGTTTAAAGAGGTCATTCATTTCTAATTTTACATAGAAAATTTATTATTAAGATTAAATTGTGTAATATCATAAAAACAGTATAATAACAGCATAACAGTATAATTAACAGTATAATTTCCTGCTTTGCTGTTTCCTACCTCCTCCAGGAGTACTGCAGTCAGCTGTAAAAAGAAGAAATCAAAAACATTATCTATAATTACCTCAGTGGGAAAAAAAAAAAACGTATCATCAAATATCCCTTAAAAATAAAGCAAGCAGATACTCACTGTCACAACTTGCTCTGTGCTGTATTCCCTAAGATGGGCAGAGGAAATTACGTTAATTAAATTAATGTCATTAATTATGTGTCTCTGCTTTAAATTATCATGTGTTACTCGGTGTGCAGTTAAAAGGTGAGGAGTGTAACACCTCAGAGATGCAGTCCCGAGTATAGTTGAGGTGGCTCAAACACCTGGTAATCATAATACTCCTGTCACTGCTTTTCAGTACCAGTTCATCCATTTTACCCTTCTGGTTTGCGAGGACATGACCCTGAAGGCAACAGATGAGAAAATCAGAGCAGTTTTACAAATTCATTCAGTAAGAGGGTTAAAATATTGGCTCTGGAGCTATCATAACAATCTCATTAATCATATAAAGCCACATGGCCATGTGCCGATCAGACAATCAAACATTAAATTCATTTTTTAGCACTTTTTTCTGCTTTATCTGTCATGAGAAACACCTGTATATAATAGATTTATGCTTTAAACACACACACACACACACACACACACACACACACAGGCACAGGTTACATCAGGAAATAAAAATTTCCTTCCCAAACTAAGCAGGTGTTGAACTTACGCTTGCATTATCCCAGTGATAGTCACACGCCTGTGCCTGGAACTCTGGGACTCTATAAATGATCCCTTGAGGACTATGACTGACATTACATGGGACCTCCTTTGGATAGCAAAGATTCACGAACACAGCTGGGGGGGGAAAGAGACCAGAAACATGATTTGACATTGTGTGCCAAAATGCAAAGTCGTGTATTGTGTTTAAAAGCAATGTAGCCAGTATTAGTTTAAACATTGATGGGGCCGATAACTTGGAAAAAAAATGTAATGGGATAGTTTGTCAAAATAACATATTTATAACTTATAACTTTCTGTTTCTCTTTAATGTCAGCAGTGGTCGGATCTGTTATGCTACTGCAAGGTCAAGTTTAATCTCTGTCCAGAAAAAGATCCAGAAACACACGGTACAATGAAGAAGCAAGGAGGAAAGACAACACACTCTGCTCCAGCAGTGGAGTGGGCGAAGGATGGAGATCGACTGCGCTGAGTGAGAGACTGAGTTTGACAAACTCAGATAGCCAGCAAAGTGCGGGGGGGGGGCGCGCCACGTGCATTTACTGATTTCAAGTCTAACTTGGTGACTGGACAAACCTCCGTTTTAGGGTTGTGATGGTATTCCCCCCCGTGAAAAGCCAGCCGACAAATTCCACACTTACGCAGGCTCAGATGAAACTTTCCAGTATCCCACCACGCCCCCAGTGCTACTGCAGGTGTCCCGAAGCCCCATGGGCGTCAAAGAAATGATATAACTTCTAATAAACTCAAATAAACACGCGCTTAAATGTCTTAAGAAATCACCACTCTCCAAACAGAAGCGCAAACCGCGCTTCATTGATAACACCTGCTTTGTGGCGAACAACTTAGAGGCTAAAGTTAGATCATATTGATGCAAATCACCCCTGCAAGCGAATGCAAAAACACTTTAGCTATTTGACTAAAGTTATTCAGTAAAGGCTTAAATAAAGTGCACTTACCCAGACTTAGAATGCGCATAAGAGTTTCCATAATCCTGAGAATTCCGACGAACTCCCGCGTTGATTATTTTCAGGATTCCGCTTAAAAGGCTTAACGTTTCACAGGCGTCCAGCCCTTTCGTCTCCTGTGCGGTGGCTGACACCTAAGCTTTTATCTTTAAAGACGTCTTGCACCACTGTAATAGGCTGCACGCCCTCTTCTCAGCTGCACGCTGACTACGCGCGTGTAGGAGTGACTTCCGTGAGTGGTGTGATCATCTGGCACCAACGCGATTTTGATACAAATACCAACACCCCGCTATTTACGGTATTTCACTCAGAATGGTCAGTCACTGGTTGAATATGTGCCCAGACCGGTATTTTGTTCCCTGAACTTGCAGTAACGGGTACATGATTATTTTTAACCTGTGTGAGCAACATTTTACCGAACAGTTCATAAACACAGAGATGGAAAAAAATAGCCGAAATTAGTGAGTGGCGAAAATTGATTTAAAGTTTGAGTGGGCGTGATGTCTCAGTCTCCCGGCTAATTGTTTGCAGGGCGTCTCTTTTGTCGCATCGTAGGACGCTCAGAAGTTCCCCGAGTATTTCCTCTGAAATCTTTAGTATCTAACTGGACACACGGTCGTGCTGGGAGACGGAAATAACAGGAGGGTGTTTACACATTACTGTGAATGAACAGTGGGCTTGGGATCCCCAGCCTCTGCTTCTTTGTTATCTGCAGCATGATTTTCCCAAGATTTTCCCACCGTACTCCTAGTCCAACCCTAGTCGTATAGACTTCTTTCTCATTGCTTCTCCCTTCAGCCCTAACAAAGTGATATTTAAAATGCATTGATTCGGTTGCGCTATTCCAGGAATGTCCCACATGTCGGCTAGTCAGTGTACTTCTTATGCAGTAATCTGCTGGAGCACAAGACAGAAAACTCTTGAGGAGACTGTGGAGCTACATGCACCCTGCAGCAGGGCAGAGTTCAGCATCTACACAGTCTCTAATATACAATGTAGTAAAACATAAATAAAACTGTTACTGCTGAAACGATTTTCCGCGTTTGTTGTGTGAAATGGGAAGCATGAATAATAGACGCTACTGTAAGACTCGGCATTGTGGAAGCTTGTTCTGCTAGAATGAAAATTTCTAAATATC